AAAGACTGGTGTATGGAAGGGGTCAAGGGAATATGTTCTCTTCTTCTCCCCAGATCTTCCAGAAAATTCCATTCTAAAGGCATCAGGAAAGCTGGGGTTACACCCCTGTATCTCAGAGGGGAAGGCTGGAAGTGGCCTAGAGTAGGAGGGTAGGGTCAGTCAAGGGAAGAGGAGCTCATGGAAGGGACCGTGTGGGAGATCAAGGGCCCTGCTGGGGTGAGGAAGGGCAGGCCAGTGGGGGCATCAGACAAAAGCACTATGAGAAAGGAGTCCTTGCCGGAGTGCACATTCTAGTAAGAAGACTCAGAACCAATGTGGAATGAGGAGGGCTTTACATAGAAGGGGGCTCAGAACAGGTGAAATAGTGGAAAGGGGAAGAGATACACATGTTGTCCTAAGGCGGGGATCTGTATAGGATGCTGCTATCCAAGCAGGAGAAGGAAGTTATGGAAGGTTACCTGGTATGACTGTCTAGGTGCCCTTGACTGTGTCTGTGAATTTCACACATCCCTGTATCTTAAGTCTAACAGAGTGGACACCTAGTGGGTGCCCAGGTAATGGCAATCATTGAATGAATGATGCATGACATTAATAAAAGACCTGAGTTCCAATCCCCCATTTTAACCACTGCTGCTCTGCAGCTTTGGGCAAAGCAGGTGCAGTATGTGAAACCTCTATGAAAATGTCAAGTGCTGGATACATTTGAAGGCACTGATCCTACTGATCCAATGAGTAAGAAGGCTCTGGCGCTGGTGGGCAAGGCTGCCTCCTGCTTCCTGCTGTCCCCCTTGCAATCCACTCATGCCACCCTGTGAGATGGGAAGAACATGCAGTGAATGCCCCAAAGCCAGCCCAGATGGGTGGCTAAGCGAGCCTGGGAGCCTCTGCAGAGATGGCAGCCTGTGGTGTGCAGACTTCTCAGCTGTTCTCAGCTTGCTCAGGGGTGCCTGCGGTTGCACAGGTAGGAGCTGTTCCAGCAGACACTTCACTGTTGTTGTAAAGCGGCAGTGTCCTTCGGGGACCTCACAGACCACACTTCTTGGACAGATGACCCCCTCCCTACCACCCCGCTCCAGGCAGTTTAGGAGAGGATCCTGCTGTTTTCTGAGGTTTTGGCTCTTAGAAGTTCCCTCCTGACTCCACAGGCTTTGAGCTAGCAAAGGGATGAACTCACAGTATGTGACCTGTGGTATCCAGGGCTGGGGGGAATATTAGAGGACCCTTCGAGCTAGCCCAGACCCTTTCCACAGGGGAGCTACCTGTGTCTGTGCCAACTCAAGTGCATCACATGCACTTCACTGGATAATCTCGTTATTATCCTAAGTAGAATTAGATTTTCTTAAATGTATTTTTGTTTTATTTTCTTGTTTTAGTTACTGACATTAACTTTGCAGCCTCAGATCGGGCTTTCCTCCACACCCTTGGTCATCCTTATCTATGCTAATGGCTTCAGTTGCCTTTTCGGGGCCACAATGTCCCCAGATGTTATCGTCACCAGCATCCCCTGCGCTGCACACCCAGCTATCAAACTGTCTCCTGCATGTGATCACTTGAGTATCTCGGGGCCCCTGCCCCTCTCCGAGTGCTTTCTTCCAGAAAGCATCAGCTCCCTCCTCTGGGCTCCCACTGACTTGCCTTTTCTACCAGGCTTGCCCATCCCACCTGGGAGACGAGCAGCACCACAATCGTCCCATTAGTCTGCGGGGCCCGTGTGGGATGCTGGTTGTAGTGGCAGTCTCACAGTGCTTGAATTTGATTCCCAGCTCCAGCTTCTGACTCCAGCTTTCTTCCTCCCATATACCCTGGGAGGCAATTGGTGAGAGCCCAGGTAATCTTCCATGTGGAAGGCCTGGATTGGATCCTGGCTCTGGCCCTGGGCCAACCCCAAACACTGCCGCATTTGGGAAGTGCCTTGGTGGATGGAAGCTTTCCCTGTATATCAAGCAATACATTTTCATTCCTTTCCTGCCAAATCCAATCAGTCTCGGTGCCCTTTGTGGGAGTCACTGCTCAAGGTACCACCTCTCACCTTCTTACCTGTCCACAGCAAGCTGCCAGTGAGTTAGGGTCTCCATCCCCAGCCAGCCCCCTCCCACACCTTTGCAAATCATGCAGATGCTACAACCCTGAGTCTTGACAACTGTAACTGGCCACTTGCCTGCTGAAAACTCCTCAGCATGAAGTCCAAAATCCTTAGTAGAGGTTTAAAAGTGATCCTACCATACTGCTTCGATTGTGCAAGTTGTCAAGGGGCTTTCCCAATTTTAGCGGAAATGTCCTAGATTCTCACTTGGCCTCCAGCCAAGAGGGTCAGGACTAGTTCATTCCAGCTCCACCCCACCCCATACCATTTCCCCCTTATTCATGTAGCGCTGTCTGTCACCTTAGGTCCTTGGTGCTTGCAGCACCACCCCCAACCCCCAACACACACTGAGAGCCTATTTACCCCATCCATTTGGCCTCCTCCAGGAGGTCTTCCTAGCCCCTGATGGGTGGTTCTCTCCAGGGCTCCTGGCCGTACTTGGGAGGTGTTATTTCCCTCCCTGGGTTATTGGGAGCCTGGCTCTGAGACTTGTAAGTGCTAAGGCAGAGGTTAAACCTTCTGTCCCTTGTTGTCACCTGTTGTCTGTCATCTGGCTCGATGATTGCTACAGATTTCAGTGATGATCCTGAGATTAATAGAGAGGTGTTTTTTTTTTTTAAAGATTTATTTTATTTGATATTATCAAAGGTTTATAGCAGTACAGTCTGCATACAAAGTGTGTGTGTGTGAGACTTTAGCTTTCTAGTGGCTGGTGAGGCAGGCAGCTAGTTCTGGATCACAGGCTTGGCAGCCTCTCCCCTACCACCATTTAGGTGTTCCCTCCTGCCCACCTCTGATGCTCACCTATCATCACCTGGAACCTCAGAGGAGGTGGTATTGTGTTGTTGTGTAACCACTCCCCTCACAAGCCCCTGCAAAGGCTCACGATAAGGAGCAGCTCATTCACTTGGTCATGTGCTTCTGTCACTCTAGCACTCCAACTCTTGGCCTCCCCAGTGCCAGCTTGTTTTCTGGCTTCCTACAGACAGACTCTGAGGACAGGTATCCCCTGAGTGTGGCTCCTGTGTGTCTGTATTCCTCACCCTCTGTTCACTGCTTGGGTGGGACAGTGAATATAGCAATGCTAAGGTGCTTTGTATTTCTGATGTATGTAGTTCCAGGAGAGGTGAGGCCTAGCAGTAATGGAATGTGGGCAGAGAAGCCAGGGAAAGGTAAATGTGTGCAGTTTTGTAAGTGTGTCCAGGTTGTTCACTGTATGTCTCTTAGGATAACTTATGTTGTTGGGGAAGCTGGGACATAGGTCTTCAGTTTAATGGATGGACTTCAGGGTAATGATCATTTGTTCCTCTTGGGGTTATGATTGGTTGGCTTGCCATATGGACTTGTGATTTGCTGTTTCTAGTGTGCTCTGCTATCACCAAGCTTGGTTAATAAAGACTCTTTAATAAACCTTAGGCATGTCTGGCATGATCTCACTTGCACCCCGCAACAGTGACCACTCTTAGAAAGGAAGCAGTAACTAGGTTATGAATATGCGTGAAAATGTTAGCATAATTAAACTAAATTATATAGCATTGATCTTGGCTGTTCCTCTGTTGGGTTCAAAAAGAACATAACGCCCTGAGGGGGTGGGGAAGTTCTCTCCTCACTGGGGTGGGAACCATCGAGGGCCAGTGAGCGCTGCAGCACACACGTTACACTGTTGCTCTGAATGCCCACATCCCTTTTAGAGCATCTGGCTCCACCTCCAGCTACTTCCCTTCTGATCCAGGGCTGGCAAAGTGTCCCTGGCTGAGAGAGGCAAGACCCCATTTGCTGAAATTCAAGTCCCACGTGCATCGTGAAAAGCAGCTGGGATTCTCCCTCCTGCCTTGGTGGAATTCCAGACTTCTAGCTTTGACTTGATCCGGTCTTCGTTTTTGAGGGCCTTTAGGGAGTGGACCAAGAGAAAAACACCCTCTCTCCTCCTCTTCTTTCTCCACTTTCACTTTTTCTCTGTTACTTTGTCTTTTAAATAAATAAAAATTTAAATTAGAATCACTGAAAAGCAACATGACAAGTTATACTGCAAGTTTGAATAATTCTGGACTTTACTCCTAGAAAGATACATAACTCTCACCCTACAAATGTGTGCACTTATAAGAATATTTAACAAGGCATTGCAGTCAATGAGAAAACAAAAAGAGAGGAGGGCATGGCAAACGTGCCCTTCCTTCCAAAGCAAATTGGTTGCTTGCATTTGGAAGAAGTCATGCCAGGAGGTAGGTTTACGCATGCTCATACAAAGTGTTTCTCAAAGTAGGAAAAAAATGGAAAAGCAAGGTCCATAATGTCTTGTGATTTCCGGAGGAAACATGCATAAATGTTCATGTGCATAACGTACTGGGAGAATACACAAAAACTCAACAGTAATCACCTCGAGGGCAACAATCAAGAGACCTGGAAGAGAACAGAAATCTAAGCACTGAGTATTTAAGTATTTTATACAGGCGCGAGTTGGCTTTTCAATTATTATAAAAAGAATACCCCCTGTTTGCTTTGTTTCTTGTTTTAAAAACTGGAAGGGGCTTTGGAAATTCTTGCCACTTTTCTTTCCTTTTTTCCTCCCTTATTCTCTGTTTTCTCCCTTTCATTCAACTTTTTTTATGCCACTTCTGCCTTCCTAAGAAAATTGTTTTTCCAGCATCTTACATTGGTAGAGTTTCCCATCCATCTCCACCCCGTCAGGACTCTCTCCTGTTGACTGGAAACTGTCTCCTGAGTGAATGGACACTCCCTTCTGAGCTGGGACCCCAGCTTTGCTGGCCCAGGAGGGCTGACCACCCCCTCCCCAGCTTGCTGGGCCGGGCACCTCTGGAGGTTTGCCTTCACCCTCTTGGTCTACTGTTTCACCCCAGCCAGGCCTTACTCTCCAGCTGCAATTGCTTCTGACTCCTTATTTTTTCTCTTGTTCTAGGATTTCTCTGCCACCAGCCTGTAGCATATTGGAGCAAACTCATTTGCCTATTCTGCCACTTATGGACCAGCAGGGAAACAGGAAGGGGTTAGCAACCCATGGGGTGGACCCGTGACCTGTGAGAGAAACCCCTGGACAGTTGTTTGCGACCCCAGGGCTGTAAAGCTTCTCTCCTACAGGCCGGATTAGCTTAGTAATATCCTCTCACATAGGCTTTCCTTTTTCCATTTTGTTCTTCCTGACCTCTTTCCTCTTGTTTGGGATCACGTCTAAAAATAAACCAGCCGCTGGAGTTAGACTCCACCCGTGGTGTGAACCTGGCCTGACATGGGATGCTGCGTTGTGAACGTTGAGCTGTGGTATCCTAACAGACCTGCAGACTGAGACCACGCATCTCTCCAAGATAACAACCAACCCTGTCTGATGAGTGTCTTCCTGAGATGTACCCCTCCTTTTCTCCATTCCGTGCCTGTCTTTCCTCCTCTCTATTAACACGAGGGTGATGTGCTGTCATCGGAACTGCATGTGTCTCCCCAAAATTCCTATATTGGAACTCAATCTCCAATGTGGTGGCATTTGGGGACAGGGTTTGGGGGAAGCAATTGGGTCTTAAGGAATGTTAGATTACAAGAGATCCCAGAGAGGGCCTTCCTGCTTCCTCCACGCGGAATCAGAGCTGGAAGGCATCGTCCATGAGCCAGGAAATGGTCCTCACAGACACTGAACCTACCAGCACCTAGATTCTGGATTTCCCAGCACCCACAACCCTGAGAACAAAAAATCTCTTACTTAGGGCATTTTTAAACAACAGCTCAAATAGAATAACATACATCATAAGTCCAGAGTTCTATTTTCCAAAGTTGCCTCATGTCAGAAGAGAGAAAAAGGCCATAAGCCTAATCCTCCCGCCTCCACACCTGTCCAGTGCACGGAGGAGTCAGGTCTCTGCCTGCCTCCAGCTGTGTGCCTCTTCCTCTTCCCCTCCTCCCCGCTGCCTGCTCCAGACTGGCCTTCTGAGCATGAGAAACACACCAAGGTCCCGCCCAGCTGGTCCTCACCCCAGGACCCTCTGTTCTCAGCCCCTGGCAAGGTAGTCTTTCGCTCATTCCTCAGGCCACAGAGTAAAGGCCGCCGACCCAGGAGACCTCTCCTGATCAACCCTCAGCCCAGGATGCTGCAGTCTCTACAGTTACTGGAGGCTGCCATTTGGTTCTTGGCTTGCTCATTCTCCTCTCGAGCCTCCAGAAAGACTGCAGCCCACTGGGTCTCAACACTTGGAAGGTGCTCACTGGATGATCACCATGGGTTACTGAAAGCTGGGAAGGCCTCACACATGAAGGCACCCTGGACCAGAGCCTCTGGGGCAGGGGCAACAAGTGTTTCCTGCCCTAGACTGTGAGCCTGAGACTCAGGACTGACTCACAGGATCAGAAGTGACATTGCTGGCAGGTGAGCGGGAGGAGATTTTGGGGCCATGACCAGCTCTGACCAAGCCAAGTCAAGGCTCTGAGTCCAAGCCAGCATTGGGGTGTTCAGAGAGGAAGACCCTGGGAGTGGGAAGGGTGAGTGGTAAGCAGCTCATTGGGCTCCTACATCCTGGGGGTTAATCTAGATTCTCCCAACAGCCCTTGAGCTGGAATTTGTTTATGATGGATAGATGTACTCCCTGGGATGGGGCGATCTTACCAGGAGTCTAAGCTGAAATCCCAGGCAATAATGCTCATGGTAGTTGTAAGCATGGTCTCCTATGCAGCTGAGCACCTGCTGAGCACCCACTGCTGTCTTGGATATATTGGAGCATCATATTGAAGTCACCACACGGCACACAAACCTGGTGTGAGCCCCTCCTCCAGTTCCAGAAGCTGAATCTGGGAATCCAAGTGAGCAGAGTGACACAGCTACCATCACAGGATTTGAAAGCCATGGCTGCCGTGGCGATGGCAGCTGCATCACACAGACCTTTCTTTGGTCTGTGTTTCTCACAGGTGAATCAATTCATTGGGTTTGGCTCAGCCCCTCGCGGGATGAGTCATCATCTATCAGACTGCCTGAACCTGTTACTCTCCGGGAAGTTGATACAAACCTTAATCTCTAACCCAACAGTAGCAGCAGGGGCCAGACTCTGGACTTTGGTAACCCTGTGGGCTGTGAGCTTCCAGCTGCTTCCTTTGGGGCAGGCAAAGGGCTCCCCAGGGGACTGGTTATTGCAGAGGCCTCACTTTGCTCTGTCCTGGACTGGGGCAGCCAAGAGCTTGACGGAGAGACTCAGCTTGATCTAGCTTCTTTGCTACTGCACTATCATGCCCTGCTTATAAAATGGGACTAAGAACAGCTCCATGATATTGCTGTGAGCCTGATGTGAAATAATATAACAATGTTAGATGATGACCACCGACCCCCCGCCTGCTGGTGGGATAATATCGGCAAGTTGTTCAGAGTTGTAATGGAAGCTTAGTTGGAAAATCCGCTCCTGGGCCCCCTTCGCACAGAGGGGAAGGAAGAGGGAGGCGAAAGGGCAGTTGAGATACGTGTTGAGGGGTTTTATACTCCTATAGACACGTGGGCAGGCAAAGGGGCTGTCTGTGCCCCAACTATGTAAGGAATGTCCATTCAGGTGTGCCAATGGTCAACTGGAGTCCCCCAGGTCGGTGATGTAACTGGCTCCTGTGGCCCCTCCTGTTCCAGGCTGAAGACATGCCAGGTCCAGAGCAGACCAGCCCCTCGTCTCCAGTGCCCTGGGTAGCCATCAAACATCAGAATTCTAGAGCTCTCCGCAGTCTTTATTATTGTCGCTGTTAACAGTCTTAAGGGCATGTGTAGCAGGGCACAGTAGGACTGATTCTTGCCATCCTGTGACTTGGGACAAGCTAATGAACTTCCTCTCGACTCCTTATCATGAAACTCCTGGTAATATAGGAAGTTTTGAAGATGGTAGCAAGGTATCTTGATCCTTAAAGTAGAGTTGGTTTCTGTTCAGGTTGAGGAAACACCAGAGGCGAGGAGTGACTACAGGCATGTATGGACAGCATTTACCCCAAGGAGACACTCTAGGTCAAGGAGAAGCCAGAGACTGTGGGCTGCCCGCCTCTCATTGGCTGTGGTCTGCAACATGTGACTTCAGTGGCTCATCTTAACTAGTCTGTTGTCTCACTTCCAGCTACAATGGTCCCGGCTGGCCAGGGCATAGGAGGCCACCTAGAAGGAATCCATCCGTGCACCTGGCCCAAGGGCCGCCCATCCAAGAGCTTAGCCACATACGTGCCTATCCAGGTAGTACAAGTGGGCTTCATCGGTGATCAGATCTCCCAGGGCTGGCTCTAAACTTCTGGCTGAGCTTCCACACCTCCAGTGAGCCTGCTTGCCTCTCAACACTCAGCTTCTCAGAGGGAGAAAAGCTCAGACTGTCCTGGGGCTTGGCCTGTGGGGGAACTCCGTGAGTGCAAGCTGACTCAGTTGGTTCTGCGATGTCCACAGCCTGCTGGGGCCCCGGAGCACTGAGTTTGCAAGTCTGCAGGCTGAGAATGGTTCCTACCCCTGATGATCCGGCCAGCCTCCCACTGCAAGGAGGCCCTGGTAAGAGCCGGCATCTGAACATTCCAGAGAGCACTTTCTTTATCTGCACCAGTGCCTCCCTTAGGGCTGAGTAAAGGATTAAGTATCCATGCCTGACCAACAGCAGACGCCCAACAAACGCTCCTTCTTTCTCCATTTTACGCACTCCCCACGACCTGTGTTATCCACGTTGACTGCACGCACACTCAGATCTGGAGTCTTGCTGGCTGCTGGCCTAGATTCACTCTCTCCTCCACCAGATCCCATGCCAGGTTCCCTGCGGGGGTTCTTTCCCCCATGTGCCCTCTGGGTGTTCCCTGAAGCAGATGACAGCCACTCAGCAGAAGGCAGCAGGACCCAGGAGCTGGGCGCAAATGAACTCTTGAGTTGCTCGGGGTGGGGGAGGAAGAAGAAGGGTGTCACTGTGGGAATTCCATCTCTGGCTGCTCAACTGGAACATGAAGGCATGGGCTAGCGCCCCACCTTCACGACTGCCAGAGTGAATTGTGCTAGCCAGCCAGCCAGCCATGCACAAACTCTAAGCACCTTCTCCATGCTGGAACAGAACAGAAGGACCCAAGCCTCTCACACCAGGGAAACAGGATGCAGCTACAGCAGAGCAGCAGGGAGGGGGAGGTGGCTCTGTCCAAGCCCCTTGGGAGGCGCCCCACCAGCACGGTGCTTGGCAGACAGCAGGGGCCCAGGAGTCGCTCCTATTTCCTGCGGGGCCTCCTCCGCAGCGCGTGCATTACTCAGCGCGATGAAATGCCTGCCTCCCTCTGGTCGATCCCGGGCCTGGGCGCCGCACAAAGCTCTCCTTGTGGGCCTGCCGCACAGGCAGCCAACCAGACTCTCGGTGACTCACTCTCTTGCCATTTCCTTTGTGTGGCTCCGGAGCGTGTGTCTGCCTGGGGCGGGGAGCGGGACCGCTGTTCAGTGTCGCCAGCTAGGAAGGGGACAGCTCCCCTTCGGCAGCCGCCTGTTGGCGCCTTTCTTGTGGGCAGTGGACACCCTGCACGCAAGCACGCACGCAATGGAGCCCTTGCCTTCGGGCCTCCCAAAGACAGCATCTGGCGCTGGGATGTGCTCCCTCCCCACCAGGCGCTCTGCTAACCCTGAACAGCAAAAAAAGAACCCTGTAACCCAGTGAGGGGACGGCTTAGGAAGCAGAGAGAGCTGCAGGTGTCACTTCTGGTCTTTGACCGCCCCTCCGCCAAATGCCGGGTGAACCTTCAAGAAGAAGCTGTCCAGGCTTGGAAGCCTGCCTGGGAACAATCCCAGCAAGCCTTCCTGCAGCTCGGCTCAGTTCCTGGACCACAGAGCCTGAGGCACTGATGAGGGAGCTATTTGGTGAGTGGAAAGATATGGACCGAGCCTGAGCAGTGCTCTTGGGCCTATGAATTGCCTGACTTCCAGTTCTTAGTGGAGTTTCATCTGTAGGTGCAGTTCCTGAGCCGTGGCTCCTGAGAGCCCCTGGGCTAGCACCTGATCTTGCTCTAGTTTCTTGCCTTTGCAGACACATCTAGCCCTTCAGTCACCTCAGACAGTTTGTTCTTCCCAGAGCGCTCCATGCCCTTGCTAGCATCCAGTATCTGGCCAGGCTGTACTCACTGCAAGCAAATGCTCCTTGAGGGTCTCAGTGGCATCTGATGACACACTCTTCTTCGTGAGTCAGTACAGGGCTCACCTTCAGCATCCAGCCTCTCGCTGGAGTCTGAGTCAGGCCCTCCTCCTCTGTGCTCCTCTGACAA